TCTAGACAAAATGACCTAAACCCCGGGGGTCTAGAATAAATGACCTAAACCCTGGGGTCTAGTTTAAGTTTTCTCTTGTGAAAATCATATTTGTCACGCAAAATTTGTCACATGAACTTAACATGTGATGTATTTCTGATAATCCACGTGGATAAAAATGGTTCTGGTGATACTGGGTAAGTGTGCCTTCCCTCCGAATTTGATTGGTCCATAATTTAACAGATGATCAGAAGATGCCATGTGCTTAATTCATATGACAGAATTTAGGTGGCAAATATGCAAAAAGTATCGTTTTGATAATTTATAAAGGATTTCACGTTACTATAAAAACAACTGATCCCAAGTTTACTGGGCAACGATGGGCCGAGCCGTAAATTATTGTCTTAGTTTAGCTAACTCTTTTATATATTCAAAAAATGGTTATTTTTTTATACATTATTAAGTAACGTGCGCACTAATTATTCGACGGGCATGTGGTATTCATATTCTATATATCAAATGTATATTAGTTGCATCACGTTCCTTAAGAATAAAAATTACCATAGTATCTCAAAAACGATACCTTTGCAACAAATATGTAAAAATATTCAATAAACCCATTAAGTAGTTACACAACAATTTATAGGATACCTCCCAGAACAGATTAAAAGTGACACATGATTGTAGGACAATTTTTAAAGTTTTCGAGATAATCAATCGAAGATGAAAATATATAATTTTTATTTTTATTTTTGTTATATATATATATATAATTCAATAACCTATGTAATAAATATCCAAGAAAGAAATGAAGAAAAATTTTTTTTGTATGGATAAAAAATCAAATAGGTTTAGAATTATATATATATATATATATATATAATAACATAAATGATCACTTATATATATATTTTTTGTGATCATAATTTTGATTTTTTGTAAGATATTTAAAAAATGGTTTGTTCGAAAAGAACATTTTTGTGGGTTGCGCATGCACATCCTATAATACATACTATTTCTTACATCTTATATATTTTAAAGAGGAAATTACAGATATAATAATTTTAAAATGTTGACCAAGTCCAATTTTCAGGAACAAAACCCTTGTTGTATGTTACATCTATCAAAAAGAAAGATTATAATTATATTTATGATTAATTTGAATTTCTGTCAAATAATACGAAAATTTATAAAATTTATAATAAATTACCTAATTGTCTTCGATAATATGGTTTAATACTGTTAAGATCTATTGAATAATAATAATATTATTATTATTAATTATAATAATATTAATAACTATTTTAACATTAATAATTATTTTAACATTAATACCTTCTCTAAGAAGATTTTCTTCACGTGTTACATATTTTGTATTTGTATTGTTACATTCATCATCGCTGCTACCACTCATTGTTTGATAACCCCTATCTCGATACTCTCTGTAATCATCTTCCTCCTCTTCTGAACATCCCGAGTAACGAGAAGGTTTAGGTGGATGTTTGCATCGGTATAACAATCGAGTATAATCATCAAAACAATTATCGCAAACCCGTGAAGCGAATCCTACCAAATTAAAGTTGGCGTTTTGATCGAGTCGAATATAGTGAGAACAATGAGCTCCACAAAATATGTCACCACATCTAATATACGAAAAAAAAATGTTTATAAATATTACGAATATGTGAAAAAAATATGTAAAATATTTTGAATCTTTATTTTTATTTAATATACCTTCTACAGTGATGTCTTCTTTCGAATAAACCGAACTCGCGGTAACAACAAGTCATTACACACTTTGTAGCTTCTGGGTCAGGCTAAGTCCATTAATTAATATCATCACAATAATTTTCATATATGAGAATACTAAGGAATTTTATATAACTTTGGACGTGGAAATAATGAACCACTGAAAAATGCCAACCTTCCAGTGAGTCTGCAATGGAGGTCCAGTTGCTCGTCCACAAAACAAAATTGCGGCTTCTTCAGAAGGATGTAAAAAATTGTTTTTTCCATGTATATATCCTCTTCCTGAGGTAACTTGTCGTGAATATGGATCTATTATATAATGTGACTCTTGTTCGTACGGATTATGAGCAATAGTAAGAGACCGTTTTGGGTGTGTTAAAGTATATATGTCCATATTTTTTTATTAAATAAATAATATGTGTATAATTAATTAAGAAGAAAAGAATTCAAAGCAAAAGCCAGCCGTAGTATATTTATATGCAAGATAAATAAATAAAAAAAAAAAAAGTACAAAAAATTAAAATTAATTAATTTAAAATCGTTGAGAAATTATTGTTCTTTTTCTCGACATATATTTATATATAAATATTTGTATTATAATATTAAACTATAAATATTGAGCCTGGATATATATGGTTATGGATATTGTACAATATTTCACTATATTATATTATACTATATCATACTATATTATACTATATTATACTATATCATGCTACTGTATATTAGACTGTTCTGTACAAAAATTAAAAAAATCTGATAATCAGATGGCGGAGTAGAATTGTGAAACATTTCCAATGGAAACACCATTTTGATTAATTTTTGATTATCAGTTTCCAGTTGTTTGTCACAGTGGGAAAAACCTTGAACGAGATTCGTTGTTGTCTTTTAAAAAGCAGAAAATTATAGAAAAACGAAGAAAATTAACTAGTAATAACAAGTATGAAGTAATACTGAAACAACAAATAATTATTTTATTTACTATGCTATTATCAGAATTATTAAAACTATTAGTTATTAAATTTATTAATAATATTATTATTTAGAGATTAAGAAATTTTTTAATCCAAACTCGGATTATGCAAAATTCTCATAATATTCAAAATATTCTGCACCTCGCCACGAATGCAGAATCTTTTGGCGTAAAATAAAAACCTTGTTCTTCTTTTACCACTAAATTATTCCCTATGTGTTATTAAATTATGTATAATGTTAATTTATACCATATTAAATTAAATACTATTAATTTATAAACTATAAATGATTGACGAAATGCTCTTTTAAACTTACTTGGAGTGCATTACATCACTTTATCAAAATGCATTAGATAAGACTTATTTCTATAAAAGTAAATCTTTATGCAATTGATAAGATTCTTTAACATAATCTTACTGTTAATCTTGTTAAATTTAAATAATCTGGTTGGCTGAAAAAATGCAACCTAAATTGATTTTCGGCGCACTTTTTAATCTATTACCTCATTATACTTTCCACCTACTTTCATTTACTTCTTATTACTTCATTATTGCATCTTTGAATTATACATTTTATACTCTTAATTCTGTTAATTGTAGCCCATTATTATTTTTCTAATTTTAAATTCTTTCAAAGATAATGATAAGAGAAATAAGAGAAGAGATGGAGAAGAGATACTTATTTATCAACAATAATTCATAATAATTACCATAATTATTATTATATTATTACCATTATATTACTGTTTTTCGATGATCATATGGCAATCCGCAGCCATGATTTCAAAAATGTAAGTTCCCGATTTTTTTTTTCAAAGAAATCTTTTATCTTTGTACATTTGAAAAAAAAAAAAAGATGAACTGCATATCAAAATACAATGAATATGATGAATATGATGAAACGTAGGTAAAAAAAAAAAAATTGATGGAAATTTCTCGTACACAGAAACAACGTCTTTGTCGGTAATAATTGACTTATGTGCGAATCTAGACATAAATATTAAATACTAAACTAAAAATTCATTGTTGTGACAAATTAATACTGTAGGGGTATACATTTACACACAACAATATGAATCCCACACAATTTTTCATAGATTTACCCTTATTTTAAAAAATACTTTTAACGAATTATCAATATATATATATATAATATATATATATAATAATATATATATATAATAATATATATATATATAATATAACAATAGAGATAACAGTATTATTATATAAACATTAATAATATTTATATTAATAGAATAACACTCATTTTGTATCCAAATTCCGTCTTTAAACGCCAATCAAATTGTGAAGAAAGAATTTAAACTTACTTGCAGATATATTACCTTTCTGGGGTAAAAAATTATTGTAACACTTTACTTGCTTATTCACTTCGTCCGCATAATCTCTTTATGTTTTAAACATCCGTGCGGTGGATACAAATGATTCGATTAATAAAAATAAAAATAGTAAATTTTTTGGTACAGACATTTAATATATTTCGATAGATCTTTTGAGTACTCAAGAAGAGTTAAATAATGAAATACGAGATAATAATATTGAGAAGAATATAAATAATTCGGAAATTTAAAGAAAATACATCCCAAATTGAAAAATGAAAATAAATCATTAATTTCAAAGCTGTTCAATATTATTTATATTTTAAGAAAAAAAAAATAAAAAAAATTACACTTATATATAATTATTTATAATCTTATAATTACAATTATACTTTCATTAAAAAATTAAAATAAAATTATCTTATTAGGAAGGAGTATTTCATTTTTTGTATTTCAATGAAAAGTATAATTATAATTTTAAGAATGGAAAAATCTACAAGTTCACAATTGTAACTTTAAAAATGAAGAGAAAGATAAGTAATTTGTTCTTTATTTTAAAAAAATTAAATTATATCTCAAGTATAAAATTTTAAATAATTGATAATTACAAAGATTTAAAAAATTAGTAATAGTAACTAGCCATTTATTTTTTTTTAGAGTAACCACCTCCCTTGTCACGGGAATATAAGCTGTTGTTTAAATTTATGAGAAATATATTATTTTATATTTTTTATATATATTATATTTTTTTATATATATTATTACATTAATGAAATATAGTTGGATGAGATATGGAAATATTTTCTAATCTTTGATATTCAAGAATAACATCAGGGTAATGAATGCTGATTGATCAAGATGAGATATTTGAATATTGTTCCAGTTTGGACATCTACTAAGAGCAACATATGCTTGTTCAGATGAAAATATTTCCATTTAATGCAAGACATACTTTTAGTAAAGTAAGATCTCATGTTTTGTGTATAGTTGAGGCAAAACAATTGTTTATAGAAAATTGGGTTCTGTGACAATTGCATCCATCAATTTCAAAATAATGAGTATGCCTATAAACCTGAATATCTATTATTGATTCTTTAACTGAAAATGTTATCTTAACAGATTGATCTATAAGATTGATATCTATAATAATTTCCATTGTTCCATTACAAATACCATGTTCTATTAAAGAATTGTTGAGGTACATAATATGTGTACCGGGTTGTAAATAGATAGAAGAAGGTAAATTTGTTTTTGATTTGAAAATTTGTTCAGAATCATAAGTATTCTATAATTTAGAACCTATTGAATCTGATGCTCTTGAAATTAAAAATTTATTATTTGGAATAGGTAATAAATTACAATTATTCTATTAATTTGTTGTACACTTTTTCAAAAATCTACAATATATGTTATATTAAGTAATGAATCAATAGTAGAATGTGTCAAAAATTCAGAAGTATGTTGTTACAATAAATTCTATATTTCAAGTGAAATATTATTAAATCAAATTTCTTCTAACATGTTATAAAATTCTGGATTATTATTTTGACATTAATTTGTTCTAAGAAATAAAAGACAAAATAATTTCCAAATACATGCTTTGAATACAGGTTATCTTGTAACAGGTGAAAGTTAAGCAAAATCACTAATTACAATTACATTAATTTTATCAAATATATTTGTATTATTATGTAAACTTGCAAAAATATTAGAAATAAAATCAAATAGTTCAGTTGAAACCATTGAAATTTTATCAATTATAAGAGTATCAATTTTTTTTAATTGTTTAATAAGTTTATAATTAGAATGAACTTATGTATAATAATTTCCAATACTAAAAGTAATTTGTAATTCTGAATAAATTGTTCAACCATTAATATTTTGTGCAGTAATATCAGTAGGTGATAACAATAGCAATAAATAATTTACATGTCTTTGATCAAGTATATTTTTAAATTAAATTAATTATATAAGATTTTTTAATTCCAACAGATCCAGTAATAAAATAATATAACCACTTAATTCTATCTGATGGACAAAGATACATATTAATTATTGATAATATATTATATTGATCATGGGATAATTTAAGTATTTTTTTTAAATCCAACAGAGTCTTACTATGAGATAATTCAAACATAACTGTTTCAAGAAAAATATATAATAAAATTTTTAAATTTTGTAATTGAATATTTATAATATCAAAAAGATTAGATGAAAATTATTCATTTAAAAAATTCAAAAATCAATTATACATTTCAATAAATCTATTATCTAGATGTGTTATATGTAATTGATATGTTTGTCTAGTTTGATTTTGTAAATTACTTAAATAGTTTAAAAAAAGTAATAAAAATTTTTCACAATAAGTTTCATTAGGTTCATTTTTATAATCTGATTTATTTTAAGTGAAAATTTTAATAATAATTATTAATAAAAATACAATTGTTCATTATTAATTTTTAAAAATTGATGTGGTCTAGTGCAAAAAGATTTGTACCTCATTTAATTATTAATAAATTTTTTTAAAATTTAAAATTTTATTTTTTATCTTAACTATAAAATTTAATAGTTTATAGATACATTATAATATAATTTTGTTAATTATTTATAAGTAAATTAAAAAATTTTATTAAAAACTACTTTATATATATATAATTTATAAAATTTTACTATATATATATTCTATATAATAAAAAAAATCAAATTATTAAATTTTGAAATTTAATTTTTTCTCAATTGCTAATCTAATTTTACTGAAATTTAAAATGCATATTTATCATATGTACACCTATACACTTGCATAATATGAACTTATAAAATCACATGTATAAAATAGAAATGTTAAAAATCTATTTTTTTCTTTTTTTTTAAAAAATATATAAAGTTTTACTTAATTAAACTTTATAAGAAAATATAAAAATAATAACAAAACCTATATAAAAAAACAGATCAAATCATATTTTATATTATAAAAAATTTTATAAATATATTTATTAAAATTTAAAAACTTTTATATACAAATAAAAAAAATTTTTTTTTTGAGATACAAATCTTTCTACACTGAAACATATCTAATT